TTTTTTAAAGTATCTTGAAAATTATAAATTTTGTAGGAATCTAAAAAATATATGCTAACTAGAGCCGAAAGTTTTTTAACTTTGGAGAAAATATCTTGTAAGTTTTAAAAATTATAAAAAACCCTGAAAAATTTAAAATTTATAAAAACACTTTGAAATGTCAAACTATAAACATACTAAAAACCTACAAATAACACAAACAAACCCCCAAAAATTTATAGAATTTGCAATACACACTCTAAGCTTTTATAAATTGGCCAAAATAAAACCTCAAATTGTAAAGTTTATAAAAATCCTGATAATTTCTGACTAACAGTACATTAAAAATATAAATAAATATCCCCTACATAATTTATAATTTATAAAAATACCCTTAAAGTTTAAAAACTATAAACAATCCTTAAAATTAAAATTTTACAAAAAACACCCTAAAATTTTTAAATTCATTATTAATGAAAGCATAGGAAGTATTAATATCTATAAACAATTTACAATCTGTAGAAAAAGCCTATAAGTTTAAAAAATTATAAAAATCCTTAAATCATAATATACAAAAAAAATTCCATGAGAATTTCTAACTAATAGACACTAAATGAATATGCAAAATTACTAACATTCCTAGAAAATTAAATTTTGCAAACAAATATCTACACTTTAAAGTATACGTTTAGGAAAAAAAATTTTCATAGTAAATATTACACATAACTTTTTTGAAAAGAACATAACTATTAAAAATCTATTAAATTTAAAATTATAATACATTTAAAGTTTAGTACATTGCAAATTACCCCTCCAAAGTTTGAAAATTTTCAATAATTTTTTTTAATTCCTTGATTTAAATATAATGTTTAATAGTTTTGTGTATTTATAAATTACAAATTTTAGGGTATTTTTTAAACTTTTGAGGGTGTTTATTTTGTAGTTTTCTAAAATTTCATTGTGTTTTCAGTGTAATACACATATACATCAATTAATGATGATGTTGAAGAATAAGTCGTTCATAAAATTATTAGACCATAGTTAAGTGTGCATATTGTTCATTTTTATCTTCCATGTAGTTTCAAATTATTGATGCCCAAGCTAGAGTCTCATTGGAAGCTTCTCTATTTGTTTCTTGCTTACAACCCTTTGTTCTCAGGGAAGAAACAACACGCTGGAAAAATTCTAAGGCCTAGAATCCCTATCGACTTTTCCCAGTCATGAGGTTTCACAACAAGAGTCGTCTTGTTATGGTCGAGCTTCGATAAACCTGAAGTCAACTGTTCTTTACACACATTGCTGACAATTGCAGATACAATTCTAGTAAGCAAACCGATATCTTCGGCTACTGGAAGCAGAGATTGACAACGATGGAGGACCGAGATGGAGTTCGTGATGCTGGTGAAGACTGTCTCTTTGAGATAGGATTCAGACTGAGACTCTTAAGTTTGACCCAAGTCCCCCACTGCATCTGCCACCTAATTGCTATTCAAGGTTGCAATATCATATCATACTCCCTCTAAAAGTACGAGTTCGGAAAAATCTTTCTATGGCCAATATTACCTTTAGTTTTTTTAAAATATTACATTGCTATCCTAATCTATTATCTTCTTTAAATTGATAATCAAATGATTTGTTCTATTCATAATGAGATTTAACATGTTATTGGATAAAATAGATATGTTTCATATAATTCAAATTCTTTACTTATTTCAGTTCGTAGAGAAATCTAAAAAACATATGCTAGCCACCACCTAAAAGTTTTTGGACTTTGTAAAAATTATTCTCCAAATTTCTTAAATTACAAAAACACCCCTACAAATTTAAAATTTTATTAAAGCATCTTGAAAATTATAAATTTTGTGAGGAATCTAAAAAATATATGCTAACAAGAACCGAAAGTTTTTTTACTTTGGAGAAAATATCTTGTAAGTTTTAAAAATTATAGAAACACCCCTAAAAATTTAAAATTTATAAAAACACTTTGAAAATGTCAAACTTATAAACATATACTAAAAACCTACAAATAACACAAACAGCCTCCAAAAATTTATGGAATTTGCAATACACACTGAACTTTTCATAAATTGCAAAATAAAACCCTTAAAATTATAAAATTTACAAAAATCCTGATAATTTCTGACCTAACAGTACATTAAAAATATAGAAATTATAATTATCCCCTACATAATTTATAATTTATAGAAAACACCCTTAAAGTTTTAAAAACTATAAAAAATCCTTTAAAATTCAAAATTTACAAAAAAACACCCTAAAAATTTTAAATTCATTAGTAAATTGAAAGTATAGGAAGTATTAATAATCTATAAATAATTTACAATCGGTAGAAAAAGCCTATAAGTTTAAAAAATTATAAAATATCCTTGAAATTCATAATATACAAAAAAAAACTCCATAAGAATTTCTAACCTATAGACACTAAAATGAATATGCAAAATTACTAACATTCCTAGAAAATTAAAATTTTGTAAAAAATATCATACACCTTTAAAAGTATAGGTTTAGGAAAAAATTTTCATAGTAAATATTACCCATAGCTTTTTTGAAAAGAACACAACTAATTAAAAATCTATTAAATTTAAAATTTATAAAAAATACCTTTAAAGTTTAGTACATTGCAAATTACCCCTCCAAAGTTAGAAATTTTTCAATAATTTTTTAATTCCTTGATTTAAATGTAATGTTTAATAGTTTTGTGTATTTATAAATTACAAATTTTAGGGTATTTTTAAAACTTTTTAGGGTGTTAATTTTGTAGTTTTCTAAATTTTCATTGTGTTTTCAGTGTAATACACATATACATCAATTAATGATGATATTGAAGAATAAATCGTTCATAAGATTATTAGACCATAGTTAAGTATGCACACCAACACATCACTATTCCTAGGCAGTAGAGTTTATATATATTGCTATTCAAGGTTGCTATATATATATATGAGAAATATGGAGAAACTTGGTACCAAGTTCATTCATTGAACTTGGTAGTGAGGTGGCCAAATCACCCCCCTACATCACGCCTCGAAGATGGAACCTATTTTTAAAAGTAGATGATGCTCTCTTTTCGAGGTGTGATGTAGGGTGGGGATTTGGCCACCTCACTACAAAGTTCAATGGAGAAACTTGGTAACAAGTTTCTCCATATTTCTACAGACTGTTTCTTGCTTACAACCCTTTGTTCTCAGGGAAGAAACAACACGCTGGAAAAATTCTAAGGCCTAGAATCCCTATCGACTTTTCCCAGTCATGAGGTTTCACAACAAGAGTCGTCTTGTTATGGTCGAGCTTCGATAAACCTGAAGTCAACTGTTCTTTACACACATTGCTGACAATTGCAGATACAATTCTAGTAAGCAAACCGATATCTTCGGCTACTGGAAGCAGAGATTGACAACGACGGAGGACTGAGATGGAGTTTGTGATGCTGGTGAAGACCGCCTCTTTGAGATAGGATTCAGACTGAGACTCTTAAGTTTCTGTCCTAAATTTCTTCGGTCATTTGGAGGTGATGGGCTGCACAGCGAAGCGTTGCGACGTTGGCAACGGTGAGGTCGATGTTGAGGCCGTAGCAGAACTTCGCGGCGAGTTCGAAGGATTCGGGTCCTCCTGGCATATTCTGGATTGTGATTCTGGTAGGTTTTGAGTCTCTGCTTGAGTCTGATATCAGTTTTTGGACCAATTGGAAAGGAGTGTACTGATTTGTGGCCTATGATTGCTAGTGCAGTCAATGCCATTGTGTAATATCCAGATTTTTCTTCAGGTGTCAGTGAGGAGTAGTAGTTTCATGTTATTTGTTATTGAAAAGAAAAGAGAGTTTTTTAAATATGGATCCATATTTGTTTTGAAAGTTTTTGTTTTCCTGTGATGTACATATATTGGAATTGATATTCTGTGATCCAGCTGATGGTAGCATTGTTTTCCTTTTGTTATGAAATTAAATGGTGATGATTTAAAGATAATAATGATTTTGGATATCATTGCTAAAAATTTGTTAACAAATAAGCTACTGAAAAATTTGAAGATATTTTGTCAAACTTCGGGGCTTTGTGAAATTTATCCTAACTTTTACCTTAACATAAACCTTAAAACACCAATTCTGAAATCCAAATTCATGTATAATAAAGTGTATCCAAACACTATATTTCAAATCTTTGATTTCAAATCCTTCCATTTTGGAAAGACATCCAAACAAAAGATTCTATCAAATCATGGATTTCAAATCCTAGATTTCAAATCCTATGATTTTAAATCAACATTCCAAATCCAAACCTAAGTTTCCAAACGCAGCCTTTCTTAATTTCGCAAGTGCCAGTTCTGAAGGCGGTATAGATTGAGAAACAGGTTCGAACATGAGGTAACAATCTGCTCGTCTAACAACCTTACATTCATGAATCTACAAATTTTGTGAGACAAGTTTGGCAACAGACAAGTAATCGCTACTAAAAAGATTTGACTTGTCGTTACAATGAAAGTTCACTCACAGCAGATTTAAGTCGAGGCGAGTCTATTGCAATTGCCTCTTTGTGATTCTCCAGTCCTTTTTTCACAAAGGAATATATCTATGAAGTCGATTACGTGTAGTTTTTACCTTTTATGTTAACTAAAACAGGCATCATCGTCTCACTTTATGCCCTAATGATCAGTTTCAAATATGGCTTACTTCAGATCTCGGAAGTGATGCATCATGGTCAATGAAATAACATGGGTAAATTTCACACGACTTTGGTGGGGTTTTGCACAAAGTTACTGTAACTATTTTCTAAAGAAAAGCACCATATACTAATAAGCAATGAGCGCCTTAGAAATCTAAGCAGGTGTAAACTCACATCGTGCAACAACCATAGGGGCTAGCACGTGCAACGTACGTACCCTCCATAAGGACCCAAGTCCCCCACTGCATCTGCCACCTAATTGCTATTCAAGTATATATATATATATATATATATATATATATCTTCCAGGTTCCACAAATAAAATAAAGTATCATCCAATGGGAAAAAGGAAGAAAGACACCAGTAAAATCTCATTTATCAATAATGACAAACATGTGTACTTAACAAAATGTGTCATGAAGATTATGGCAAAACGAGCACCTATAACTGCTAACTATGTGACGCATAACTAAGTTGAACTGCCCAATCACATCCAACATGCATTTCATATGAGCACAATCACAATCTCTGAACGGACACAGGAGCCAAAATCCAATAATCTTGCAACCGAAGACCTACCATAAAAAAAGTAAAATTAGAACTTCATAAAAGAACTTCAAATAAATAAAACTTATTAAAATAAAGATACCAGCCCCTGAATGTCTCAATGATTTCATTTATTGTTTTTGCCAACATAAACATTGATTGTTAAATGTGACTTCAGAAGTAAAATAGTAGCACGCGTTCAATGAATGTCATGACTAAACATCTAAGGAGCACGTAATTTGCATTGGTGGTAAAAGATGTAGTGGGAAAACACCGCTAAATTATTGAAGCAATAAATAGCGATAAAACATTTAAGTATTATGAAAAAAAAGGTGATCCAAAGCTGCTTTTGCCAACATAAACATTGATTGTTAAATGTGACTTCAGAAGTAAAATAGTAGCAGGCGTTCAATGAATGTCATGACTAAACATCTAAGGAGCACGTAATTTGCATTGGTGGTAAAAGATGTAGTGGGAAAACACCGCTAAATTATTGAAGCAATAAATAGCGATAAAACATTTAAGTATTATGAAAAAAAAGGTGATCCAAAGCTGCTCTTACTTGAAATAGAACGGAATGAGCAAACTATTTCACGAAAAGAATATATGGATGAGAACATCAAGATCTCAACAAAGTACGAAATACAATTGCAAGAATGCAATTAAGTTTACTGCATCTGTATATAAGCCAAAATAAAGGACATCCATGTGTTAATTGTTTTGCATGAGAATTTCATGTTAGAGCTGATTTAACTACTACCATTCCCAATAAAATGAGCCAACCGCATGAAGGATCACTCCTAGTGTGCTCATGTAACCAAACCTTAAATATCTGGCATTTTCAGTAATTTGTATTGTAGTATAATTGACAAGCATTGACCCCCCGAATGTTTATATCAAAAACCCCTCTAATATATTAGATAGCCAAACAGAAATCAGGAAGAAACCTATCTCAAATTTTACAATCAGGGGAATATATCATGAAAAACCCCTGCCCAATAATTAGCATGTCCACCCCCTAGCATGCTTCTACAACATAATACAAATAAAATTTTCAATTGCGATCTCAATGCATATCCAACGTTGAAGTATTCACATATTTGGTTGCTACACATGATTGTGAATATAGCAACTAATAAAAGCTTCAGATTCTATTAACTTCATGGTATAAATGTAACACAAACTTCATTCCATGGTATAGATGTAACACAAACTTCAATTTGAAATACTTTACGGATATGTTTATGAATTATATTTCGTGAGTTAATTTAGTTTATAGAACACTTTGGTGAACACTTGAGGTTATAATAAGGGATAAAAAGTCCAACATTTATAATGTAAAATTAGCTTGTGAAGTTAGTTTTCATCTGTGAAGTTAGTTTTCATCTAGGGCTTTCAAGCATTTACCTTAGTGATTTTGCTTTAGTAAACTATCCTTGGCTTCATCTTTTAGAGACATCCATGTTTTAGCGCTTACGACATTCATCCTTCGAGATTTTGGTATTTATAGTATTTATCCTTGGGATTTTGTCCTTATTACATTTTCATGCAATATGGACATTCATCCTTACTTAAAAATTTTGTCTTTATGTTATTTGTCCCTGGGATTTTGTCTGTTATTGCTTTTTCATGTACTCTGGGTTTTTGACCATTGTGGTATGTTATTTGTCCCTGGGATTTTGTCTGTTATTGCTTTTTCATGTACTCTGGGTTTTTGACCATTGTGGCATTAAACACATGTGATAATTTTAAAGCCACAAATTTTGACAGTAACACATTATTCAAAATTTTTATATAACAAGAAATGCAAATTTTGGACCCTTGATTATACTTTTCTTAGATAATATAACCAAAAGTCAACATGACTAATTTAAGGAATATCATCTACTTCTTGTAAGTTTGTCATATTGATTAAATCGGGCCCCAAATGTCAAAGGCCCGACTATTAGGATTCATGATTTTGAATTCAAATAAAAGTCGTAGGTTTTGAACTCCTTACCTCTTAATCGAAAAATACCTAATCCCAAGAAATCTCGACAAACTCCCATCTCTTACACTTACGAAATATCTCTTAAAATCTCCCTCCCATCATGCCATTTACTTATTCACATGAAAAAAAAGGAGAGAGAACAAAAGCTCTTTGCTTCAGTAGGAAAAGAAGAAAGAGAGGAGTTTGGCTTGGATATCTCTTTTAACTTGATTTCTTCGTGAAGTCAAGCGTTCACTTCCATTCTCGTTGTCCAATTGTTCATTCATTTAAATATGTAAAGTCTTTTGTTAGTTCTCAACGAGATTGTCTAATCAATTGTCCTCGTGTTTCATGATCATCTTCATATGGAATACAGTTGCAATTTGCTCTTCTTAAATTACCATTCACAACGTCCAATTCTTCCAGAATTATAATGCTGGTGCATGTTCGAAATCTCCTTAATAAAACACAGATGTCGGTTTTTAGATTCACATGCTTTCATGATATTGTGAGAATATTGTGATACTAAATTTCTCAAGGTCTCATTCCACAGTGTGATATTTATTTGTTAACATGTATGCAGATGGTTTAAATTCATCTAATTCTAGATTTGCTTGCTTATGTTGCATATGTTAAAATTGTCTGAATGTTTATCTATTGCGAACTTTACTCATGTTAGAATAAATCACTAGAGAAACTTGAGGCCCTGCCACATAATGGATTAATAGTTAGTTACAAGTTGTAGTTATTCTCAGTCATGCATGGTTACAGGTGGTGTATGACTACATTATTCTAGTACCATCTATAAGATACTTTCGTATCTCTCGAGTTTTACTGGTAGATTAATGTAATTAGTTTTGGAATTAAGTTTGCAAATAATATTTTCATTTACAAAACAAATTTCTCTCCCGAACATACACAACTGAAACTAATGTATATAAGAAAAAAAGTAACTCTCTCTAAATTTGAAGTTGTAATATAGACTATAGTTAATATGAATTTGAATATTTTCAAAAAGGACGCCCCACAGCCTAAAAGTTCCATCTTTTTAAAACCTTACGATACTCAGAAGTAATTTTCCTAAATTACGGGGATTCTTTATAGAGTTTTGTTAACAAATACAAACCTACCAACTTTACAAAGAACACTCCTCATCTAAATATCAAATTTCATTTTCCTAAATTATAATGATTCTCTCATATTTTAATCAATCCAACTTCTTCCTAAAAAGATAAAATAAATTTTTTATCCAAAATTTTTGTTTCCTTAGGGCTTGTTTGGATTGAGGGGAATGAGGGTGAAGGGAAGTTAGGGGAACCATTCACCTCCATTCACATTGTTTGGGAACATTTAGGAGGTGAAGTTAATTCACCCTGATTCCCCTTGGTTCACCTCCTAATAGTGTAAAATATGTTACCTCCCAAATTGGGTTGTAACCAAGGGGAAGGGAACTCCCTTTCCTTCCCTTCCATTCTCTCACCCAGTTTCCCTTAACTTCCCTTCACCCCCTACAAATCCAAACAGGCCCTTAAAGACTAGGGACTTTTCGTAGCATTAGCTACTCAAATCTAATTTTTAATCAGATTTTTTTAACCTAAAATTTTATGTGCTTGAACTTTAATCAAACAATCCTCATGATTAATCTTAATGCAATCCAACCTTCGCACCATGTCAGTTCTTCCCTTATGCCCACCCTCTTTGTGAAACACATCCACACTAGTCCACCAATCTAGGAAGGATGGATACTACTTAATTATTAGCCTATTGAATCCTTTCAAACAAACCAAGTGGTTAAACTATTCCGTTGCTAGGTTCTGTGGATTGAATCAATAGTGAAGGCCCACAAGAAACAAAAATGGTAGTTACCAGTAACTATTTCACAATATGAGATCTCAAATAGTCTCCCAACCAACCTTCTTCCAGCAATCCTACTTGACATAGAACTTCATCAATATGCAAAAGATCAATAATAAAAAATTAATAATAGGACTGATATTTGCAATCCGAATGAAGCCATCACAGTATTTGGTTTAGGAATTACAGTCGCATAAAACAATATAAACTAAGTGTCAAGATGCACCTACTATTCCACAATTATATAATAATCAATGTAATAAATTACGAAGTTGCAAACTTGATGAAAAACTAATAGTAACATGACTCTTCTCAACAAGGTGGATATAATGCTCGTTGTTCCACCATTTTCACAAGGACCATCGGAGCAAGTGCAAGTCTGCAAGAACTTGCTTAAGATTACTCTATTACTTTCTTTAAACAATCCCCCCAACAAAGCAAGTGCAAGTCTGCAAGAACTTGCTTAAGATTACTCTATTACTTTCTTTAAACAATCCCCCCAACAAATACATTATATAGAAGGTCTGTGAATATATTCCATTTTCCCTTTATACTCTCTATTATCCTTTATAGTACTTTCTTTCTCATAATTTTAAGGTAAGAATTTGGTTTATTGAAAAGGGCATGAAAATTTCGGCATGCATTATACATGTCGTTTTTTTCCTTGCACTCCTAGTTTAAGCGTTTTCCTATCCCCAATGAGATAAGCAATGAGGGAGGGAAGCTATGGGCGAGGAAGAGTATGGATTGCTGTGATAGTACCACCTCATCCCCTTCTCAAAGGAACAAACTCCCAAAAAAATTTCTTTCCCAATTCCAAATCCAAAGGACTCAACAAAAATCATTCTCCCTCTACTATTTCTCTCAGCATCCAAACTCTAATTCTCATATGTTCTCTCTAATTCTCATATGTTCTCTGCTTTACTTTGGATTTGTTATTCTGTTCTCAGAAGTTCTTTAAAGGAGCTGATGCACACACTGAAAGCCGTAGTCCCAAAAACAATGGCACAAAATAAGGATTTAAAATTGATATTAATGTATAGTGAAGCTATCAGCAAATGTCATGAATCCTTTAGGAATCTCCTTAATAAAACACTGATGTCGGTTTTTAAATTCACATGATTAGGTGGTAACGTGGTAGTAATTAATAAATTCTTTACGAACATGTGATATAGTCAGTATATGTCTCTAAGCCAATGCTTTCATGATATCGTGAGAATATTGTGATACTAAATTTCTCCGGGTCTCATTCCACAGTGTGATATTTATTTGTTAACGTGTATGCAGATGGTTTAAATCCATCTAATTCTAGATTTGCTTGCTTATGTTGCATGCGTTAAAATTGTCTGAATGTTTATCTATTGCGAACTTTACTCATGTCAGAATAAATCACTAGAGAAACTTGAGGCACTGCCGCGTAATGGATTGATAGTTAGTTACAAGTTGTAGTTATTCTCAGGCATGCATGGTTACCAAGGTTATAAATATCGGATATCGGGGAAATATCGGATGGCCAAAATTCATATCGGATTGCGGATATCGGGGAAATATTGGGGATATGTGGTAAATATCGGAATGCCATAATGAATGTTTGCATACATAGTATAATGCATTAAAATGTAATCTCAACATACGTAATGAAAATTTAAGCATACAAAATATGAACAATATATGTTTAGGATCACTAATCAACCTTCTAAAACAAACAAAAGCACAAAGCAACGTTGCAACATTCGATCTGCTTTTTTTAGGGCAAAATGTCATTTGATATAATGGGGAAATCTTGATATCTCGTCCAAAAATTCCAAACACGGTATATTATTTTGCAACAAGCTATATAAAAAGATATATTGGTCCACATACCGGCTAATATATCGGCCATATCATGGATTTATCACTCAAAATAGCCAAAAAGCGGTAAAGGATATTTAAAGACCATATCGGTTGCGGCAAGCCCTGTAAAAAGATATATCGGGGGATATATCGGGTCATGTAGGGGATATTTAAAACAATGATGGTTACAAGTGGTGTATGACTACATTATTCTAGTACATCTATAAGATACTTTGGCATCTCTCGAGTTTTACTGGTAGTTTAATGTAATTAGTTTTGCAATTAATTTTGCAAATAATATTTTCATTTACGAAACAAATTTCTCTCCTAAACATACACAACTGAAACCAATGTATATAAGAAAAAAGTAACTCTCTCTAAAGTTAAAGTTCTAATGAAGACTATAGTTAATATGATTTTGAATCTTTTCAGAAAGGACGCCCCCCCACACACCCAAAAGTTCATCCTTTTAAAACCTTATAATATCAGAAATAATTTTCCAAAATCATAGGGATTCTTTATAGAGTTTTGTTAACAAATACAAACCTACGAGCTTTACAAAGGACATTCCTCATCTAAATATCAAATTTTATTTTCCTAAATTATAAGGATTCTCTTATATTATAACCGATCCATCTTCCTAGAAGGATAAAATAACTTTTTATCCAATTTTTGTTTCCTTTAAAACTAGGGTAGCCACTCAAATCTTATTTTTAATCAAAAATTTTTTTACCTCAAATTTTACGTGCTTGAACTTTAATCAAACAACTCCCATGGTTAATCTTAATGCAATCCAACCTTCGCACCGTGTCAGTTCTTCCCTTATACCCGCCCTCTTTGTGAAACTCATCCACACTAGTCCACCAATCTGGAAGGATGGATACTACTTAATTATTAGCTTATTGAATCCTTTCAAACAAACCAAGTGGTTAAACTATTCCGTTGTCAGGTTCTGTGGATGGAATCAATAGTGAAGGCCCATAAGAAAAAAAAGGGAAGTTAGTTACCAGCAACTATTTCACAAAATGAGATCTCAAGCAGTCTCCCAACCAAACTTCTTCAAGCAGTCTCCCAACCAAACTTCTTCAAGCAATCCTACTTGATATAGAACTTTATTAATCTGCAAAAGAACAACAATAAAAAAATCATTAACAGGACTGATATTTGCAATCCAAATGCAGCCATCGTAGTATTTTGTTTAGGAATTACGAATGCAGAAATCAATACCAGATAAGTTTCAAAATGCATCTACTTTTCCACAATTGTATAATAATCAATGCAATAAATTAGGAAGTTGCAATCTTGATGACAAAATAATAATAGCATGAATCTTCTCAACAAGGTGGAGCAATAAATTAGGAAGTTGCAATCTTGATGACAAAATAATAATAGCATGAATCTTCTCAACAAGGTGGACAAAATGTTCGTTGTTCCACCTTTTTCACAAGGACTATTAGAGCAAGTGCAGGAACTTGCTTAAGATTACTCTATTACTTTCTTTAAACAATCCCCCCAACAAACACATTGTATAGAAGGTCTGTGAATATATTCCATTTTCCTTTATACCCTCTATTATCCTTAATAGTACCTTCTTTCTCATAATTTTAAGGTAAGAATTTATTCACATTCCATTTTCCTTTATACCCTCTATTATCCTTTATACATGTCTGTTTTTCCTTGCGCTCCCAATCCTTTTTCCTATATCCGATGAGATGAGCAATGAGGGAGGGTGGCTATGGGCGAGGAAGAGTATGGATTGCTGTAATAGTACCACCACATCCCCTTCCTGAATGAACAAACTCCCAAAATTTTTCTTTCCTAATTCCAAATCCAAAGGCCTCTACAAAAATCATCCTCCCTCTTATTTCTCTCCGAATCCAAATTCTAATTCTCATATGTTCTCTACTTTAGTTTGGATTTGTTATTATGTTCTCAGAAGTTCTTTAAAGGAGATAATGTACACATTGAAACTTGAAAGCCATAGTCCCAAAAACAATGGCACAAAATAAGGATTTAAAATTGATATCAATGTATAGTGAAGCTACCAACGAATGTCATGAATGCTTTCTTCTTTTGCTCCCAAAAAATTTAAATTGTTGGGTCTTCTTAGTTGAAACCTATAGGATTATGTAGTGTCTTTTCTAGTGCAAACAACTGATGCAAATTAATAATTAACCACAGGAAGCAGCCTCAAAAACTTAATCATCAGCTTTTAATGAACTTAATATTTATCATATTTTACTTGCCACAGCATTTTGACCCATTTTGGAAAATAAATGGATTCCTGAACATTGGGTTGGAAGCAAAAATAAATTGGATATTAATGGATATATTTGGGTGTGGTGATTGTTTTGTAGCAAATTCAAACACAATCGTTTTTTCTCTAGAAGTGTTCAAAAACATCACGGACTATTTGACACTTTATATCACTATTATTAAACATCTTATTAATTTAATATATACAAATTATAATATGTTGTCGCTAATATGTTACAAAATTATATATTATACATATTGTATATTATATGTATTACAATATTATATATTGCAATATATATGTAATATATTTTTAATAAATTATATTAGAATAATATAACTATGAAATATTATCTTCAAAATATTCATATATCTAATTATTGTTCATATAAACATGCTACTATTTTATATTGTATAATAATATATTATAATTATCTACTATGAATATTTACATATTTTACTACGTAATATTTTAGTTTTTAGAGGAGTTATTAATTATTAACTATTGTTATTCCTATACAACAAAATATCATTGTTTTAAATATCCCCGACATGGCCCGATATATCCCCCGATATATCCTTTTACAGGGCTTGCCGCAACCGATATGGTCTTTAAATATCCTTTACCGCTTTTTGGCTATTTTGAGTGATAAATCCCCGATATGGCCGATATATTAGCCGATATGTGGACCAATATATCTTTTTATATAGCTTGTTGCAAAATAATATACCGTGTTTGGAATTTTTGGACGAGATATCAAGATTTTCTCATTATATTAAATGACATTTTGCCCTAAAAAAAGCAGATCGAATGTTGCAATGTTGCTTTGTACTTTTGTTTATTTTAGAAGGTTGATTAGTGATCCTAAACATATATTATTCATATTTTGTATGCTTAAATTTCATTACATATGTTAAGATTATATTTTAATGCATTATACTATGTATGCAAACATTCATTATGGCATTCCGATATTTACCACATATCCCCGATATTTCCCCGATATCCGCAATCCGATATGAATTTTGGTCATCCGATATTTCCCCGATATCCGATATTTAAAACCTTGCAAAATATAATACTAATATGTTACATTACATATTATAAATATATTATGAGATATTATATTAATTAGATAATAGCATACCATATTTATTTATTAAATAAATATTGTGATATCATTACTATATTATTAGTTCATTAATAAATTATTATTAATGAACTATTATTAATAACTAAAGATGAATAATTCATTTTAGACCAAAAAAATTGGACAACTTATATGAACAGGGGACGCGGAAAGAAAATTTTCAAATTTAATAACAACTTTAATAATCCAAGCTGACTTGAAAGTTAAGCTCATTTTCTCTTCTTCCTTCTTTTTGTTTTTGCACTTTTTTTAGTATCCCCCTGCTGCTGATGAAAGAGTACAAGATTTATTCATTTAACATAATGTTTTTCCAATGTGAATTGAACTAATCAAAGAAACAAACCGGAATGACTCGCTCTAGTAATTCGTTTTTTCCAAAATCACCTAATCAGCATCAGCAATGTGGAAGGAAATAAGGTTTTGGTCAAATGGCAGTAGGGTCCATCATAAGATCAATAATCAAATAGAATGTCTCATAAATGAAAACATTAATCAACAAGTGAAATTAATTCCTCAAATCATTGAAGCAAAAGAGAAATATATAATGAGTAAAAATTGTTGTTGGTTCCATAATTAATCTAAGATTAGAGGAAGCTGGTGGGTCATATCAAGAAATATTGAAAAAGAACGACCTTGTTGGGTCGAGAAGATTTCAATTCAACATTGAGAAATACAAAAAAAAGTCTCCTTTAATGGTCAGATCACATCAAGCCAATCAAAGTTGGATTCTTTTTTCTTAATCCTTCATGGGCTCGCTGCGGAACCAATGTAATCTTGTTCTATCTGACTTTATTCATTCTGTCTTCAAACTACCCTCAGCAACGTAGGCGAGGAAGCAGGATACTGAGACAAAGGATTCTATTGAGTTCGGAGCAAATAATAAGGGATAGTTTTATCGACAAAATTACCTTTACTAATAATTCAATGTTACATTAATATTGAGACATCTCATCGCCATCTCAGTATACCACCTCACTTGTCCCCTCAACATGTCCCATTTTTAGGTCCTAACAGTCATGGTTGTTAAAAGCGGCGAATAGCGAGGCTATAGCGCCGCTATTCGCGGAAGCGGGGCTGAACCACTCCGCTTACCGTGCTCGCGAGGTGTCAAGACGGGGAAAACCGCTTTTCACTAGAAAAGCGGTTGATAGCGTGTAAGTAGCGTTGTTTAGCGCTTAAAAGCGCTTTTAACTGCTAAACACTTTTTATTTTTGTTAATTTTTCTACCCGACACTGACGCGAACCCAAAACCCGAATGCATAATAACCTCTCTCTATCTCTCTCTCGCCTCTGAATCCCGACCCAAGCCCTAACCGCCTCTTCTTATCCCATTTGCCTCCCTCTCATCTCCGCCTCCACCTCCACCTCCGTTCTCCCGACTCGGTAGCAGCAGGCCACGGCAACGACGACATCTGACGGGCGACGACGACGATCGACAGCGCAAGGTAAGAGATTTCGTTTTCCAGTTTTTTTTCTTTTCTCCTCTTTGTTTTTTCTTTTGCTTTCTAGCTTTAGTTTTTTCTCCACTCGGCAGCAGCAGGCCATTAGCAATAGTTTTTTTTTTCTTTTCCATGTAGCTCTTTGTTTTTTCTTCTCCAGCTTTCGTTTTCCTGTAGCCATTTCATCATTCTTTGTTTTTTTCTCCTCAGGTAAGTTGGAACCACCGGTTATTTTTCTCTTTTTTACTGTAGCTATTTTAACTTCAAAAAAATAATTGTGGCATAATATATTAACAGTAAAAAATTAATTGTATGTAGGTTGCAACTTGATGTAAATATATGAATTAACAGTAAAAAATCAATTGTATCTTAGCTATTTTATTGTAGCTATTTTAACAGTAAAAAAATTTGTATTTGATGTGCAATCTTTCTCAATTATTTATTTCTATTTTATAGTAACTCATAAATGTGCATATGACTATTGAAATGTTAACAAACTTGCAAAGAGAGATTTTCTATGTGAAAGTTCACAAATATATATTTTTTCATTCATCTTGTATATCTTTTGACCGTGCGTTATTTGCCGCTATTTTGCCGCAATAGCCCGAAATAGCCTTAGCGGTAGCTCGCCGCGACGCGACGCTATCCGCTATCATCAACCTTGCTAACAGCACTCATAAAAGATACAAAATTTTTATAACATATTATATTAATTAAGTAATATAATAGAATAATTTTTTTGCTTGTAAAGTAGATTGATGATCTTCATAGAATATGCTCAATATGCTCCACGGTTAATAGATTAAAGTGACTCGAGAACAAATCTTTTACCTCTCCAATTTTTTTATGATGTCTGCGATGCTAGATAAACTTGACAGGTTTTATTTGAAGGTGTTTTAAACATTTAAAATAGTCCTTGGTTGCATTTCCTTCAGCTATCCATACAACTAGAAGAGTATCATTCATACTTGTACATCATGATAATATCCTTATTTTTGAGAGTCAACCAGAACATTGAGATCGGTACTAAATATATAAACTCAACCAAAAAGCTTCTCCCTCTACAGGGTAATACCTATCAAGAGCTAGATATTTGACAAGCTAATATGAATAATAAAATTCAGTATGCCTATCTACATAGACTTCATTAGGCATGCCCCGCTGGTTAAGATCGTGAATATTTATTTAGGGTTGGTTAAGTTGTAGCAAAGGGATTAAGTTATAAACTCTCTCTATTTATAATCCTTAGATTTGTATGGACATAACTGATCACAAATAAAGCCTATAAAGTCTAATAATACAAAAGAAACACCAAACATTTAGGAACAAAAAATAAACATATATAACAGAAAGGATATCAATGAGGTTTCTAAACCAAGCTCAGTCTCTTTATTTTAGCTCAATAATTTGGAGTTTCACATCGCTATGTGAAACAAATAATTTTAATTTGCCATGTTTAAGATCTCCACATTGGTCTAGCTTTAAGAACATGATGCATAAAGGATGCAACAGTTGGGCCTCTTTGAATGGGCAGCAATAATGAACTTTCTAAATTTCTAAGGAATGGTTACTCATTGACCTGCACTAAAAGCATATATAAACTTTATCCCCTAAAAGTTCAAGTCTTTATTGATGTGTTTTTCAATAAATTAAATTTTCATGTAAGATCTTCAGAGGTTAAAGGATAATTTGTTAATCCCGTATTTCTTTTCTTAAAATAGAACTTCTAATAGGAAAAACATATCATTTTGTGTATGTTTTTTCCTTTCTTTCAAATTAATTCAAAAGTGGTAATGCAAGAGCTTAAGTTTTTTGTTGAAAATGCAGAACTCTAGGATCTAGATAAAGTAGCTCTATGTTGAAATACTTTGCTTAATTACATGAGCACAAGTCTAAATGCTTTCTATTAGGAATTTCCAGCGTACAAGTGACAGTCTTCAAGCTGTAAATGAAGAGGGCAGTTACGTAATAGTATGTGTTTAGGCCAAAAAGTGAAGGACCAACTAGATAGTATAGTTTCCTCTGTTTATGTTAGAAAAATAGATACTATTGTAAGTATTCAAAGTTCATGTTACCTCATAGTATGTGCTAAGCCCAAAAAGTGAAGGACCAATTGGATAGTTTCCTCTCCTTATGTTAGAAAAATAGATAATATTGTAGGCTTTAGAGTTCTCTCTACTAAAATATTAGCTAATTTATATGGGGTGATTTAGTAAGCTTTGAGCAGTTATGTTGATTTTCCAGAAGGATTCTTAATTAGAATCTTATGGTAGTATCGATGTTAGAAAACCATTTCTTATGCGTCTAACAAGTGCAAGAAAGTACTGAAAGAGTTCCTAACTACATGGATATAGGATATTACAGTGTATGTAACAGTTCTCACCCATGCAACACCAGCCTCAATGTCTGAAACGTGATATGTATTGAATATTCACAAGCAGATAAAAAGGCAATTATCAACGTAAAATAATGAAAGGTTTGTACTCGAGAATATTCTTGAATGCGGACCACTACAGATCGTTGTTCTACGTTCAAGTGGGCTGTCGCCTCGAACATTTGATGTACTTAAATAAAGAAAATCATCATAGGTAATAAATATGCAGACAAGATGGACTTGAAAAGAAGTCCAGATTCTAGAATATACAGTAAAAGACTATGCAAAGGAACAATTAATATTGTGTTCTATATGTGTGTTAGTTGTTAGATGCACAAAAAGTTAACTGCTATTTTTCTGATACTAGGTACCTTTGCATCATACTCCTTTGTTAACAGGATTAAGTACTCTTCAGCTTCATACGCTCCAACCTTATCACCTACAAGTCCTCTTACTGTTTGTACCCTATGACGAACCTATGAAATTGGACATTTAGAAGTAAGGGTTGATAACAAACCATTTGATGAGCATATTGAAGATGCATACCATTCTTCTCTCTTTATTAGTAAGCTCTGCCTTCAAGTTAAAATAGTCTTCCAAACTAGTTTTCATTACCTGAAACAGTTCACAAACAAATAGCTTGAAGATAAAAGCATATGCTTAATGTTGAAATATATATAATATTTACATTAATTAATACCTCTCTAGATTGTAACCTATTTAATCTCAACCGAGATTCACAATCTTCACGGAAAATCCCTATGCTTAAACAGAGATCAAGTCTGAGCTCAACAATAGGAGTAAGAAGCTGCAAAAGGATAAAGTGTCAGTAGTGGAGGCCAAAAATCTACTTTTGTAAGAACCTCATTTACTCGTACGTGATGCAGGTTATGTGCCAATAATTTAACCAGCAAAATTTTTTTGCTAGTCTTTTGTAGCCTCAGAATATTCCGAGATGTTGCATCAATCAAAGCATCAACAGCATCCACCAAGCTAGACAGCTGACTGTATGCTGTGAAATACATCTTTGAAAGCTCACGACAAGGGACATGTTCTTTGGTAGATCTTTGCCTGCCCTCTGGAACCTGCTATATCATGGATGAAGCAAATTTTTGAGCTTCCCAATACTACAAGATACCAAGGGTATGTTTGGCAATCCTTACAAAACAAGGGCAGGATCAAACCTTGCCCAGTTCTGTTCTAAACTAGTTCTTTTGTAAACCAAGTGGGTGTTGAAAGTACTAGTTTAGAGGCAATTTTTTGGCCTAGGAAAAGTTGGGCCAATGCCAACCACTTTTATCCCCAAGATGAAAATAGGGCCAAACCTAAGCCTAAAATAAGAACTAAACAAGGGGATAAATAGATTAAACAGATTGAACTGAAACATTACTTATTAAAAAAATAGTCTAGAAATAGCAGACAACGTCAAAACAAACTCCACCATACAGAAACATCAACTTATGGGGCATGTTTTCAAAATTTATTTGCATACTGTACTCTCTTTAGTACATATCTACCTATTGTCACAGAAAACAAAATAGAAAAATATATTATCAAAAGCAAGAAAACCAACGGACCACGATCGACTCCATGTGATCGCTATGGTATAGGCTTTAAATAAATCCCTTGAAAAAATTTTGAACAAAATAAATTCTCTCCTTTTCCCCTCAATTTTTTCTATTTTAACTAAGACTCACGAGCAAATATGCAAACATCTACATGAAGTCCGCTTTCCTCCTCTCCACCCTGCGCAATTTCGTTTGATGCCAATTTTACTTGGGAAATGGTAACACTGAGGTCAGTTTCAATTTTCGAAATTTTTATATCATATTTGTGTCTTTATACATATTTGGATGAATAGTAATTTGGTAATTGAGGTAGCAAGTTCAACATTCTGATTAAGTTTGCATTTTGAAAATAATTCCTATCATTAAAGTTTGGGTAAACTGAAATATTACTTTTTAGGGGTTCGAGGTCATACAAAGTTCAAAAGCAATAAAATTGGGTTAGCGAAGTTAAAGAGGGTGAAACTTGGGGCTATTATTTGAGCAAACTTTAACTTGCAGGGTATCAAAGCTGAAGTTGGTTAAACTTTAGGGTGTAAACTGACTCTAAAATAAAATAAAATAGAAGAATTTTCCACATAAATAGGAAAAAGATGAGCAAAACTATATCTGTTTGCATTTGTAGCGGACTGTTACATTCATCTCCACTCCATATTGTGGATCTTGAACAGGTTATAATGGTACCATGTTAAATAAAAGAAGAAGCAAAGAAACAGTTACATGTTTTATAAGGTAATTCATAATTTAGAACGTCGTTTTATAAGTGCAGATACAATTGTAATGAGTTTAATATTTAAAATTTCTTTAATAATTAAATTCATAATTTAGAACTGTGTATACTTACATGAGGACACCAAAAGCGGGGAATGTGGGGTAAATTATAGGGGAAGTTCTGTAATAAATAAGAAATCCGTAGCCCGTTCCTAGCACGGGTCAAAAGACTAGTACTTACATGAGGACACAAATAGTGGGGAATTATAGAGATAGCTCTGTAATAAATACGAAATTCATAGCCATAGTTTGGCACGGGTGAAAAGACTAGCACTCTTAATATCAAAAGACATACCACCAAATATAAAAGTTCTGGCTCCCTTTTTATTTCCTCCATTCTAGCTGAACGGTAGGCTTTTGCATCATGCAAATAATTATCAACCTGCAAAAAGCAAAAAAAAAAAAAAAACAATAGAGGTGATAATTCCGAGGGTTATTCTTTAAAATTCAACAAGTCCAAATAATGATTTTAGCAACATTAAAAATTAATTTTTTCTCCTACAAACAATCTTAAAAGTAGGGTACTCATACAAAAACTACCTTTAAATTTCAATTGACGCATGAACCACATACGTGGGTTTTTTTTTCAAGCAACCACCTCCCAGTCAAAAGTTCACTTAGAAATAAAAAATCATACTACCTTTAAAAGTACGCGTTCGGGAAAATCTTTCCATGGTCAATATTACGCTTAACTTTTTTAAATATTACATTATTATCCTAATCTGTTTTAATTATCAAATCTTCTTAGAATTCGTAACTAAATGATTTATCCTACTCATAATGAGACTTAACATGTTATTGGATAAAAGAGATACATTTCATATAATTCAAATCCTTTACTCATTTCAGTTCGTAGAGAAATCTAAATAACATATGCTAGCCAGCATCTAAACAATTTTGAACTTGGTAAAAAATATTCTCCAAGTTTTTTAAATTGCAAAAACACCCCTACAAATTCAAAATTTTATTAAAACTTCTTAAAAATTATAAAGTTTACTTTAATTCAGTGAGAAATCTGAAAAACATATATGCTAGCGAGAAACTGAAGGTTTTTGACTTTGGAAAAAATATCTTGTAAGTTTTAAAAATTACAAAAACACCCCTAAAAATTTAAAATTTATAAAAAGCACTTTAAAGATTTTAAACCTATAAACACACTAAAAACCTACAAATAACATAAACCACCAAAAATTTATGGAATTTACAATAAATACTCTGAACTTTTTACAAATTACAAAATAAAACCCTCTCAAAATTGTTAAATTTACAAAAAACCTGATAATTTTCAACCTAACACTACATTAAAAATATAAGAATTATAAATATTCCCTACATAATTTATAATTTATACAAAACACCCTTAAAGTTTCAAAAATTACAAAGAAACCTTTAAAATTCAAAATTTACAAAAAACACCCTGAGAATTTCATACTCATTAGTAAATTAAAAGCATAGGAATTATAAATAGTCTATAAATAATTTACAATCTGTAGAAAAGGCCCATATGTTTAAAAAATTACAAAAGGCCCTAAATTTTATAATTTATGAAAATACACCATAATAATTTCTAACTTATAGACATTAAAATGAATATACATAATTACTAACCCCTAGAAAGTTAAAATTTTATAAAAAATATCATACACCCTTTAAAAGTAAGTTTAGAAAAAACTTTTCATGTTCAATATTATCCATAACATTTTTGAAAAGAACATAACTAATTAAAAATCTATTAAATTTGAAATTCAGCACATTGCAAATTACACCTCCAAAGGTTGAAAATTTTCAATAATTTTTTGTAATTCCTTAATTTCAATGTAATGTTTAATAATTTTGTGTGTAAATTACAAGATTTTAGGGTATTTTTATAATTTTTAAAACTTTTGAGGGTGTTTATTTTGTAGTTTTCTAAATTTTCATTGTGCTTTTAGTGTAATGCATAGATACTTTAATTAATAATGATATTGAAGAGTAAGTTATTCTTAAGATTATTAGGCCATAATTAAGTGTGCACATCACTATTCCTAGGCAGTATAACTTATATATGTAAAAAATTCAAACAATCAATATAGTGGTTAAAAATATTAACTTTAATGTACTATTTTTTTAAATTATATTTAATGTGAACCTATCATATAAGTTTGACTATGGTCATCATAATTTTAATACATTTGATTGATTGACTATATATGTATATAGGTCATGGATTATTTTACTTTCTCACATGAGCTAATATTTAGTGCTTAATAATTTTAATATATGTATATAGGTCATGGATTATTTTACTTTCTCACATGAGCTAATATTTAGTGCTTAATAATTTTAAATTATTACTTTTAAATTTAATATAAACAACAGCTATAATAACATTTATTTATTTACCTACAGGATAATCCAATCTCAATTCCTATTTTTTGCTTGAAATTTATTCTATAGTTACGCTTATCAAATTAGTAACTAAAATAATAATTATTTATGCTTAAATTAGGATGATTGTAGTTGGTCACTCACTATGAAATTTTTATTACGATATATACATTACTTTCTATAGCTATCTGAACTGTCCATGTATATTGTATAAATTAGTTGTTAATTTAACATATTAAATTATTTTTTCTTTATAGAAATTTCTTCTTTGACTTTTGGACTATGTAATCACTATATTACCATTCTAGCGTAGAAATGACCTCACTCTAAATAGCTTCAAGCCAATGTTTGAGTTGAACTAAAGTATATATTATTAAATCTATGTGAAATACGAAGAAATCGACGAATCAAAGTAGGAGTGTATCATATCCAAGTATTCTAGACTCCTCTATAAAAGATCAAGACTGAAATACTTTGAATGGGGTATCTGTAGGCGTTAAAAATTACCTATAATAATCGTACGTAGCTCAAGGCGTAGAGAAGATGATAAACATCATCATCTAAGTTGCAAAGGATCATCCAAAGCTAAAGATCAACTTGAGAATGCACAAGAAGGGCATCACACAAGTTTTGAGGTGTAAAACACATCCCAGATGCATGAAAGGGAACCAACAGTTTCTGAGACAGTTACAACTATCTCGGAAACTTCCGAGACACTTACAACTGTCTCGGAAGTTAAGAAAATGATAGTTTTCTTGAGATTTGTGCACGCCACGTGGCCACATAACTGCCAAAGGTCGTGTTTGAACGTAGGGAAGACGTTACCAACGAAAATTCTTATGTCTTTTATAGAGCTAAAAAGTTTAACTACGAGCTCTAATATGTTGCTCTCACAACAACAAAATTCACTTAGTAGATGTTGATATTCCAGATGAGCTATATGTCTTATATACAATATAATTGTCCTAGGCAAATGAGTTACAATATTATTTTTCATTCACATCGCTTGGGGTAAGATTTGATAGAGACCTTGCATTAAAGAAAAAGAAATTTTTATTTTAGAGCACATAGCGAAATATATCATAATCTCCCCGCTCTAATTTCACAAGATAATAATTCTTCATGCTTTCAGTTTTACTTTTATGATATAGAAAATGAGTTATAAAATTGAATGAGAATATTAGATAATATAAATATGAGTGAAATCATAGCTAAAAGTTAACTTGAATATGAGTCAAACCACAACTAAAAGTTTAACAGACATATATTGCAAGTAAATTCATATACAAAATTTCTTTGCGAATTGAATGATCACCCATCTTTTGAAGATTTCAAGATACTATTAAATAGAGATGTTGTACTAGATTAATGTGTTTATAACTCACAAATAGTAGAACATGTGACAACGGTTTGGGTTGAAGAAAATAATAATAATATTTTATTTGAGAGAGAAATCATTGAGTTGATGATCAATCCCACAAAAAAACTGTATTTTTTTTATATTTTTACTCTATTTTTATCAATTAAAATAATCATGATATTCAATCACGTGCATTACACGTGCATCTCAACTAGTAATCTTAAAAATTCAAGTTCAACGTACGACATTGATTTGGTAAGTAAAATAAAGGTCAAGATATGACAAGTTAGAGGAAAATATACACCATTGGAAGAAGCATTGTAAAAGAGCATCTCGTGGACTTTCATCTACGCTAGAAGAGAGCAGCAACGGCGCCAATCTTTTAAGCATTATCTTTGCGGAGGAATATAAAGACAAAAACAAAAGCCATGGAAAAAAGGAGTCGAAAATAATGCGGCGAAAAAGAACTTGCAAAAAAGAAAACAGACACAACATAGTAAGACCGCGGAAAAATCAGTGGAAACAAAAGGAGTGGGGTGTTTTGGTCGTAAAAACATTTGCATGTTTATTACTTGGGTTGGATTTCCGAGATGTTTAGTGTGTCCAAGAGGTGTGTTCCTTCCTTATGCATATGTCGCTGAAAGAGTTGGGTGTTGTCATTGTAATATTTCGGGAATTGGGGAGTGACAATATTGAGAAGAATATTTCATCAAGAGGAAGAGCCACGGTGATTAATAGAGATAAGATGCAGAGTAGGGAGTGAGGCTGGTCTATGATAAGAGTAAATTAGAATTCATAACATACATATGGGTAGCGCGCATTGATTCTATGTTGGTGTAAAGACTCGCCTGACAAAACGAGCTGCCGACTCACAAACAATAGACCCCACGCCCACCCGATGTGACAAGTGGGGGGTGTGCCTGGATTCTATTGCAAGTCAAAAGAAGAGAAAATAAGACTATACATGCAGCACATACCAAGTCACAAAAGTCATCCTCGAGGAGGAACAAGAGAAAGGGGAGCCTTTCCCGGTCTGGGCTCAGTTCACACTCTATCCGTAGTTTTCGGTCCACCGTCTTGAAATCCTAAAAGGGTTGGACAATGATCCATGAAAAGTTAGATCGACATGTAACAAACCCATTAATTAGACGTGGTGTTGCCGAAGAAGATGCAAACCTCGATTTCGAGGCGAATAGTCATTAACGGATCATCCTCAACTTCAATCTCCTTAAGTTTAGTATCAATTTCTCCCTACAACGACAACCTTCTATTTGAGTAACATAAAATTATGCGAGCTTAAGTGAGTACCGGTACTACCCCGGGAGTCCAATATTTTTGAAAGATCCTCGCCATGCTGAAATGTTCTGTCGCTTCATCAATCAATTTGGAGACCTGCAAAAAAAAAAAAAAAAAAAAAAAAAAATTTGTTGCCGAAGAAGATGCAAACCTCGATTTCGAGGCGAATAGTCATTAACGGATCATCCTCAACTTCAATCTCCTTAAGTTTAGTATCAATTTCTCCCTACAACGACAACCTTCTATTTGAGTAACATAAAATTATGCGAGCTTAAGTGAGTACCGGTACTACCCCGGGAGTCCAATATTTTTGAAAGATCCTCGCCATGCTGAAATGTTCTGTCGCTTCATCAATCAATTTGGAGACCCAAAAAAAAAAAAAAAAAAAAAAAAAAAGATTTTTCGTTTCCCATAAATTAGCGGGATCAATAGTTGATGGATCATGTCGATATGAAATATTTAAAACTGACTGTTACCTTCTGGTCAGGTGGGTCATCGTAACAGCGCTGGGCAGATTCTTCAATGAGACGTGAATATTCCGTTCGGCGAACGCCTTCCGCCTCCTCAAGCCATCTATTTAGAGATTCCAGGGAACGGAATTTCCGGCTCAGATAAATAATTTTGGCGTACATCTTTCTGAGTTCTTCCTGAATCTGCATAGCCTCCTTATATCGTTAATAATAATAACAATAATAATAACAATGATAAGTTAATAACAATAACAAAAGTAAGGTAAACAGGGGGAAAAGAAAGATGCACACCTCGCCTTTCCGGCCTTCCATGTCGTCTCCCTCAAGCACTGCGGCCGGAGATTTAATTGGAGGGGGTGGCAATTTATCGGAGCTGACCCGACACGATCCGACTAGTCGGGTCACAAACACGTTTAATCGGGTTATAATCGGGTCAATCCGTTCACCCGTTTAACTTTAACCGATTTACCATTCATCTTCAAAACTAATAAAAATACGGTAAACAAAACAATATCCATAAATTACATACAACACCTGTAATTCACACGACATTTGTAATTTACATAAACAAAACAAAATCCATATACTACATACAATATTTGTAATTTACAGAAAATGCCCCAAAACTTTCTAATTCGCAGAAAACACCCTGAACGGTTCGAAAACTAGAATTACATCCTCAATAGTTCAAAACTTTACTGCTTAAGTCCTGAAGATATAAAAACTCGCAAAAGCAGTACAAAACCTGTAAACTTCGAACAGTACCATGAAAATTTTAAAATGTACAGAAAAGACCTTGAAAGTTTCAAATTTTGCAAATTACACCCTTAAAGAGTTGAGTTTTACATAAATATACCTCAGAAATATCAAAACCTCCAAACGTTACAAAATCTATAACTTATAAGCAACACAATAAAACTTTTAAAATTTGCCAAAAACACCCTATAGTTTAAAAAGTTGTAAAAAACAACCTCAAAAAGTTAAAATATTACAGAAAACACACCAGAAAAATTAAAACATGCAAACAGTACAAAATCTATACCTGATAAACAGGACCATGAAAATTTTAAAATTTGTAAAAAACCCCTAGCAGTTTTAATAAACACCCTAAAAGAGCAAAATTTAAAAATGTCTGAAAATTAAAACTTACAAATAATGAAAAGATAATAATTTATAAATTACAAAAATCAGTTGAAAATTATGAGCTTTGCAAGAAAACATCATAAAAGTTTTTAAAATTACAAAATACACCCTTAAAAGTCAAATGTTACAAAAACACCCCACGAAAGCATCAGAACATGCAAAAAGGACAAAACTTATTAGATATTAATGTCGATTAAAACTTATTAACAAATTATTCTTGCAGGATAGATGTACAATGTGAGTTATGAGCAATAATGTAAATTACTAGCACAAAATAACTATACACAAAGCAAACTCAAACACAAGATATGATCACGGAGTTCGGTCAACCCTTGACCTACGTCTTCGCTCCTCACCTCGAAGAGATTTCCACTATCTCTACACACTCGGTTTGGAAGCCGGAACTTCTCTACACACTCGGTTTTCTAGCTCACCGAAAACTCTACAAGTCACTCACAATGTACATACACAAACTACAACCTCAAGTGTTGGTCCCCACGTATCGCATCCCTCAAGTGCTCGGCTTTACTACCTTTCTCTAGGCTTTACTACCGACGTCACTCCTCTTGGTATCGACTACGTCCTCACCACACACTCCTCTCGGTGTAAATGTGTATTACAAAGTGATACTCTCACAATAAGGCTTAATTATAAGATTTTGTTCCCTACAATAGGTGAGAATACAATTTAGGCTCACTCTCAAGGTTACACTCACCACAACCCCAAATTATACAATATGTGAAAATACTTAAGCTCAATGGTTGTGTGTGCAAGCAATGAGAAAATCAAATATAAACTCAAATAAATCTAGCAAATATGAATATAACAATTAAAGCATAAACAAGCTAGAGATATGAGTTTAGAAACATTTCTCTAATAACAAGAGAGAGGGATTGGAAGATTGAAATCCCAAACTGAAATTAATCTCTTCTTCTTGTAAAACAATCTTCACAAAACTTATTTTGTAAACAAACACTTAAAACAAACTAAAACTCTTTTTAAACTTGTTTTAAAACATTCTCTTCTTAGTTCAGAAGTGAAATGATATAAGGTATATATAAGATGAAGAAACAAAGCTCAAAACCCAAGTAAAACTCAGCAAAAAAACAAAAAATAGAAACTAAAAATATAGCCGTTACAGGCCATCAGTCGACTGACGAGTTGGATCAGACGACTGATGGGCTGACCGTTATAGGTAGCTAACTGCTCATCGGTCGACTGATGAGCATGACCTCATCAGTCGACTAGTCAGTCGACCAAAACAAAATAGAAACTTTTAGTGATTGCAGGCAGTTTCATCAGTCGACTGATACAAACCATCAGTCGACTAATAACATGTTATCAGCTTGGATTGAATAGTAAAAATGAAATTCAAACCTCTTTTAAAAATATTAAATAAATTCAGAAAAATATAAAACTTTGGAAAATGATTGTAAACATGATAATGAACATGTTACAAAAAGAATTTTTCAATTTATATTCCTTATTTGTAAAATCTCATCATTTTGCAAAATCGCATAAGTATGAACATGTTAAAAACTTGATTTTGTCAGAATGACTTAAATAAAACTTTGAAACACTTTAGAATGGATTTATAGACTTATACAAGATATGAAAAATAGTGTAAATAAATCTTCAATCCATAAACATAATATTTTACAAATTCAATAGAATATGAAACACATAAATGTGAAAATGAAGATATATATATATATATTGCTTCATATCTATATGGCTAAACCAAAATAACTTATTCACATAGAAAACAAATAAGTATTATATATCTTTTTGTTTGCAAAAAATTTTGTGGATAAAACACATAAACCATTAAATTGTGTGAGTATAATATCGAGCTTAAGGTATTAACAGACAAAGTATAAACCCTAAACTAATTATATACCCAAGATGATAAATCTTCATTGTAGCTTGTCTTGGTAAATATGGAAGAAGCTTGAACTTGGATCTTGACTAGTATATATAGGCTTCATTCTAGTAACATGGATATTTGTGTAGATTACCTAACAAAACAAATGCAAACACTCGACACACATTGTTAGGAATTGTTTGTGATCACCAAAACAAGATTAGGGAGTAGGCTCATAAACATAAGACCTAACAAGACTAACAAAATAATTCCTAATATCGTTTGTCGAGTGTTTGTATTTGTTGGCCTCTTTGTTTTAATGATGTTTAACGAACAATTTACCACTAATGTTGTTTGTCTAGTGTCGGTATATTTCTATTTATTGTAGACAAACAACGAGTTGGAGGTTGGATGGATTGCGCTTCAATGATAATATCCAATGGAGATTGGCAGAATAGTAGGTGAAGCTATGCGCAATTCAAAGTTAAAGATCAAGTTCAAGCTTCATCCGTAAGTGTACCAAGTCGAGCTTATTGAAGATGATATTCAAAGCAGTCAGATCTTGGCGCGCCCGTAGATCATCCTTCGACTTGTTTGCATCTTGTAGGAGAGTTGATACTATGTTATCACATATATTTTTCTCAATATGCATAACATCTAAGTTGTGTCGGATTTTTAGATTCTGCCAGTAAGGTAGCTGAAAGAAGATACTAAATTTAGTCCATCCTCTAGGTAATGTTTGGGCTTCGTCCTCAACTTACATTTTACGGACCTTTCGCTTATGCTTCAATGGCTTTTTTAACTTTAAGTAATCTCTTACTCCGAGCGTGTTAAATTTAGAATAACGTTTTTTCCCAAACACAACTTTTGGAAACCCCTCAAGTAATTGAACGATCTCAACAATAATCATATACATATTTTATTAAGTCTACATAATCATTGTGTAAAGTTTCAAAACATGGTTTAGCAAAAATGTCAAAATTCACATATTTACATTTTCATGTTTTGACTTATTTTGTAAAATGATGATGTTTTTCATTTGGGATGTTCTTTTTGGAAACCAGTCATTGTAGCATGTTATTATCATGTCTACAATCATTCCCCAAAGTTTTATATTTTTTGAAATTTATTTGATATTTTTAAACAATGTTTTAAAATTAGAAAAATAGTTTACAGAACTTCATTTTCATATATCAGTTCACGGTCGACCGCCACGGTCGACCGCGCCTGAGTCTTTTGCATAGTGTGCATCAGAAACTTCGCGGTCGAACCGCCACGGTCGACCGTCAGCTGAGAATTTCTTACGGTCGACCGTCAGCTGAGAAGGAGTTTTCTGCGCGCGCGCCCCCCCGCCGGGGCCCCCCGCCACTCTGTCAGATCAGTTCCAACGGCTAGTTTCCAGAGCCGTTGCAGTGTAGTTTTTTGGTCTTTTTCTTGGCTTTCTCTTGGCTTTGGGGTTTGTATAAATACCCCCTTTTACCTTCAGCTCTATACACAACAAGAGAATGTTTTAAAGAGTTTTAAAAAGAGTTTAAACTTGTTTTAAGCTTGTTTAATGGTTTGGTTTATGAAAAAAGTTTTACAAGAGCTTGAGAAGATTATCAATTGTATTTTGGGCATTCAATCCATCTCTCTCTCTCTTGTCATCTAGAGAAGTTTTCCTAAACTCAACTCTAGCTTTTATTTATAATTATTTGTTGATTATCATTTCTATTAAAGCTAGTTTTATATTGAATTTAGATTTGATTTTATCTCATTGTTACACACACCCACTTGAGCTTATTGTATTTGCATACATAGTATATTAGGGTTGTGAGAGATTGTAACATTGAGTTGTGCTTAATTGAGTTCTCCCCCTGTATGAGAGAACAAATCATTTATTGTTACATTGTGAGATTGTAAAGTTTTCGGTGAACTAGAAAACTGAGTGTGAGGAGTGAACGTTATTCGGTGAGCGTCGAAAACCGATACTGTGAGGTGTAAACGTTATTCGGGTGAGCGTAGAAAACCTGGTTGTGATAGTGGATTTCTCCCTGGGAGTGGGGAGCGGAGACGTAGGACGGAAGGTCCGAACTCCGTGATCATATCGTGTGTTTGAGTTTGCTTTGGCGCACTTTATCTTATGTTTATATTTCTTGTCGCCATTGTCCATAGTTCATTATTTTTATCATCCACTGTCTAGTTCATATTGTTTACCTTTGTGTTAGTTTACATATCATTGCATATATCATAGTGTATATCTCTTTGGTAGGATATGTCATCTTGTGCTAGTTTATATATCCTTGCATATATTTATCATATAGGATATATCTCTTTATTCATGTTGCTTATTCTTGCTTATAACTCTTGGTTATCTATCTTGCAAGAATA